TCTTCTTCTTCCTCCTCCTCCTCCTCCTCCTCCCCCTCCTCCTCCTCCCCTCCTCTTCCTCCACTTCCTCTTCCTCCTCCTCTTCCTCCTCCTCCTCCCCCTCTTCCTCCTCTTCTTCTTCCTCCTCCTCTTCCTCCTCCCCCTCCTTCATCCTTCTCTTCCTCATCTTCCTTCTCATTCTCCTCCACATCTTTGGTTTTCTGAGACAGGGTTTCTCTGTGTAACAGCCTTGGCTATCCCGGAACTTGCTTTGTAGACCAGGCTGCTTTCTAACTCACACAGATCTGCCTGCATCTGCCTTCCAAGAGCTGGGACTAAAGGCGATTGCTGGCAAGCCATCTTAGAAGTGGAGACCTCGACACATTCTGCTCCCTTCCTGTTCACTCTGCCTTAGATGTGCAGGAGAAAGCACGGAGCTTGGTGGAGAGACAGATACAGTGTGCAGGATTAGGCCAAGGATCCCGAACTTAATGACTACTTCTGAGGGAAGGCACAATGCTTTGCATAGCTTGCTGACCAGTGTGGACAGTTCATGTGCAGGTGCCCCTGAGTGCTCAGGTTTGATTAGCTACACTTCCCAGGCTGAACTTACAGTGAGTTTGTGATAAATGAAAATTTATCACCTTGGGGAATCAGATGCAAAATGCTGAACTAGTGGTATACTTGTTATTTTGAGACATGTATCTGAGGACATAGATTTAATTTTGGCTGTAACTTTTATTTTGTATTGGACACTAGGTAATGCCTTTAAAGTTTCCAAGGTGAGTCAGAAAACATTGCCACTGCCAAAAGACAGGAGAGGTGGAGGGAGAGAAGAGTACGCACAAAATGATAAGACCTAGAAAGCAGAGCTGGCCTTTGGCAGGCTAGAGATGGGTCATCGTGAAGTCCCCACGGTCCTTTTCCCCAAATCAGAATGTATGAGCAAATGAATTCAACGCAATGAGAAAATGAAGCAAGAGAGATTATTGCTTGTCTGAGTCATTTAGAAACTTGGAATATTCATTGTTTTCTGTTTTGAATGTTTCCTGGAAGACTGACATAAAAACAGCCATAGAGCCTCACCGTGTGTGGAGATGAGGACCTGAGTCAAGACTGTGGACCACAGTTGGTCAAACGGTGCTGTGGAGAATGTGGTATAATTCAGAACACATGCATGATATGGATAAGTTAGCCCAGGCTGTCCTGTTCCTTCCAATACATTTGTGCAGGCTGTGGGGTACACTGTTGGAGGGATCCCAAAGCTTACCTGCATTGCACCACCACATTGCCAGAGGCTATGGAGATTCACGAGACAGGACAGTTAGAAAACACACATCAGGTAAAAGAATGATGACCAGCCAAGGAAGTGTCTTAGTCAGGGTTTCCATTGCTGTGGAGAGACACCACGACCAAGACCACTCTTATAAAGAACAACACTTGATTAGAGCTGGCTTACAGGTTCTGAGATTCAGTCTGTTACCATTATGGTGGGAAGCACAGCAGTGTCCAGGCAGGCATGGAGCTGGAGGAGCTGAGAGTTCTACATCTTCATTCAAAGGAAGCCAGGAGCAGACTGTCCTCAGGCAGTTAGAAAGAGGGTCTCAAAACCCAACCCCACAGTGACACACTTTCTCCAACAAGGCCACACCTACTCCAAAAAGGCCTCCTAATAGTGCTACCCTTTGGGCCAAGCATATGAAAACTACCATAGGAAGATACTCAATATTGACCTCTGGGCCATCATACATATGTGCATATATACCATATATACATATACGTATACATACATATATGTGTGTGTGTGTGTGTGTGTACATGTGTGTGATTAATTATATATGTATATATACACATACACATATGCATAGATATCTCAATCCCACACATGCAAACACACATACACACTCAGAGCCGAGACACATTTCTGTTCATCAGTATGTAAATTCTATGTCTTAATTTCTAATCTCATGTTGAGTAAACAGGAAAAAAAAAAGCACTTAACCCTCACAAATTCCACAAAACAGCCTTCCACACCAGTGTGCTCACTGCCCATTCACTAAGCAAGTGCATACATCTACCCGCCACTGGCACTCTTCCAGGGGCTCAATGTATCATCATGAGAAAGACAGCCGTCAGCTCTCATGGAACTTACACTGGTTAGGGGGCAGAAAGTAATCAGGTTGTCAAATAAACATGAAATGCACTTTCTGCTGGTAGCAGGTAGGGGTCGAGGATACCCGGGTCCTGCGTGCATGTGTTTGTGTGTGTGTATTAGACCACAGACAATAGTTTCCTACTATTTGATCACTGTCTGAAAAGAAGCATCAATTACAATTAAATACAGCAAAACACATATGCTGCCCTGTGACACTTACTTGGCTTTACTTGCACACTTCAGAAAGCCAGCTTCTTGTCACCTACAAAGAGAGATAGTTTAAACATTCTTTTAAGAATGCAGTTGTTCCAATCATATAGAAGTACTGGGGAATTTGATGATAAACTGGTTACGTGCCCGGAGAGCTGTCTGTAGCACAGTTCATGCAGCTTCCAATCTGTCCCAGAGCTGGGACCTTGACTGTGTCCTTGGAGTTTAGGGAAAAGAGGAAAGCAGGTCCTCAGGACATGGTCCTGTTCCTCTGCTCTCCCATGAAGACATATCTGACATCAGCTCTGTTCATGGTATATATGCAGGCTCCGCCTTCCTCAGCAAAAGGGTTAGCTAATCTTAAAATGGCAACTCAGACCAGCCTCCCACCCTTGGTATAGCTCTGTAGGTAGAGGTGGGAGAAGACCATCTTAGGAACCACGTGGTCAAGGACCTTGATTTGTAAACAGATACTGAAAATGCCAGAATTGAGTAGGCGGTGGAGAAGAAGCTGGCAAGCCGGAGAGGTGGAGGCTGATGGCACCACAGGGCTTGTGCCATGTTTACAGACAAGGGGCAGTATTATTCTGAGGAGGAGATAGAAGGAAGACACTGGGTAGTATATATGTACTTATAAAGAGAGACTGTTGTTTCAGTTTGGACAAAGCTTGTACAGAGGCCCTGCGTGAAAGGGGTCAGGCATACTGGAAAAACTGAGAGAACCTATGACTCACAAGACAAGGAATTAGGTTGACAGTGAGCTGAACCTGCTTGGGGTGGGAGATGGGGCCTGGACTCTACAGGGCACCAGGAAAGAGGCTTGGATCTTATGCAGAGTATAGGATAGTTTGATTCTAATGGAAGCTTCTGGATGTGGAACAGACTTCTATCCCTGGCAAATGAAGGAGAAGAGGTGATGTTTGGTGTCTGTTTGCGCATTAGGCCTTTAGTCTGTATAAGCTGGAGTCAGGGAGAGGAAAGATCAAGTGAATATGCTCAGCACAAAACCAAAAAGCCACTCCAGGTAGGAAACAGCTGGCTTCCAACTGATGCCTTTATTCCACTGAAAAATGAGATTCTGTACTCAGTTGTTTAAACTTTACCATGGCAACATCCTCTTGCCAAAGAAATAAAAGTCTGCCTTTCTCCTAACAGCCTACTTAATCTCAGGCTGCTGTAACAAAAATACTGTAGCCTGTGTGGTTTAAACAGCAAACACTTGTTCATCACATTTATGGAGACTGGAAAAGCTGAAGTCAAGGTGTCCAGCAGATTTGGTGTCAGCTAAGGGCCCACTTTGAGGTCCATAGATGGCTACTCTTCCACTGTAGCTTTATGGGACAGAAGGGCTAGGCAGTGGACTGGGATTCCTTTTATAAAGTGTTATCCACCTGGGGCTCTGTCTTTATTACTGAATCACTCCCCAAAGGCCTAACCTCCTAAAGCCTCACCTTGCATATTGTAATTGTAACACGTGCAGTTAATGTGCACATGAATGAGCAGACAACAGCACTGTTCACTTGTCTAGAAGTCCTACCATATACTCTTCACATCATTTAGGATCCAGAACCTGGATGTCCACAATGGCTGGCACTTTGCACCCAGGAGGCTGAGGCGGGATGACTGCTTGAATTCTGG